ATGTGGGGAGCCGCCACGTCTTGGAGATAGACAGCACTGGGAGCATGTGCCGGCCTGGCACTTCTGAAGAAGGCACAATCTCGAGAGCTTTGAAATGTATGTGAAAATTCGCTTTATATAAAGATGAGGTGGCCATCATGGCAGAGCATCATCTGTGAGTACCCCAACCACAGCAAGGGAAGGAAATGAAGCCATCAGGAGAGGGCCAAATGGGAAGAAGAGGTTCAGAAGTAGGGAGTCATATGGGACCCTTGAGATGAGAAAGAACTTGGCCCTTGGTCCATGAACATTAGAAGGCCACAGTGGGAATCGGGTGGCTGGAGCAAAGCTAGCCTAGGTACAGCTGTGCCTGTCTGCTAGACACAGGCCTTCTCAAAGAGCAAACCCTTGCCTGTAACATCACACCAGTCAAGACACTGCTGGATGGGGTGTAGCTCCCAGGAGTCTCTTTTGGGGATACACCTTTACAAGTTGGGACCAATGTATCTTATGCTAAAACATTTACCTCTACGCAGAATCGATCCAAAAAGAGAAGTTGGGATGCCTAACCATGAACTGAAACTCCCCTCCTTCTTCCACCCCCCCCCCCCACTCACAGTGTTGCCCTCATCTCCCTTACTTGCTGGGAAAGGCTTCCCAGCTACCCCGACTACATTTCAAAGGTCTTTTAGGCCCCCTCCCCAACCCTACCCCTCAGTTTCTTTTTCCTCCTTTTCTTGTTGATCATTTAAATGATCATGTCATTTTGGGCACCCAGTAGAGCATGGTTACTGCGGCAAACCTTTGAGAGAACTCTCAGCGTGCCGAGGAATGCCGTGGAAATGAGAGACAGTCATGAAAAGTCAGGCATCTGGGCAAAGTTTAAAAGGACTGGGCACGCCCAGCCTTGAGCTATGATCATTGTGAGCAGCCTAGGTGACAGTTTCCTAACACATCAAGAACGCATGCAGGAGGGTAGGATCCATTTTCCATTCATCAGAGACAGCAGAAGGAACAGAAGCATCTTAGATTTCAGCCGTGGAAACACCCACCACACGTCTGAGCTGCAGGGGAAGAGGAGCTGCCAAGAGGGCCGCTCTGAATCACTCACTATGCAACACAGCCACTGGAAATGCTATTCAGTGGGAAACATGGCAGTATACACAAGGTCTACCCCACTGAGGCTCTGTGAAGTACACACTCCATGGCCTAGATGCTACAGTTGGGATCCTGCATGCTGCCCTCTAAACCCATATGTTGATAGTTAAGTATCTAGCCTGTGGCACTAATGGGAAATGGTGGAGTCTTTTGAATCTGGAGCCTGATAGAAGGAAGTAAGATCAGTTGGGCTGTGCCCTTGAAGAAGGTACCACGAGCTCAGCTGCAGGGATGGCTAATCTTGATTGCCAACTTAACGGGATTTAGAAACACCATACAAAGCCAGGAGGTGGTGGTGCACACCTTTAATCCCAGCACTCGGGAGGCAGAGGCAGACAGATCTCTGTGAGTTTGAGGCCAGCCTGATCTACAGAGTGAGTTCCAGGACGGGCTCCAAAGCTATTGAGAAACCCTGTCTTGAAAAACCCAAAAGAAAGAAAAAGAAAAAATATTGGCTTGACTGTAGGGGTGATCTAGGTTAACTGAGGTGAGACAATTTACTCTAAATGTGAATAATATTCCATGGGTTGGGGTCTGGACTGAATAGAAATGAGAAAGTGAACTAAGCATAAGCCTTTCTCCCTCTCTGTTTCTGTCTGCAGATACAATGTGAGCAGCTGTCTCAAGTTCCTGCTGCCGTGACATCCCCATCCTGGTAGACCGTACATGCTTGAAGAGTGGAGCCCAAAGAAACCCGTCCTCCATCCAGTTTGCTCCCCATCAGATATTTTGTCACAGCAAGAGGCAAGTAACTGGTATAGACCCTTCCCGTCTCTCTCTGCTTCTCAGATGCCATGGCATGAGGTGTGCTCTTGTTCATGCACTCAAGCCACAATGCCCTAAAGCCGTGGGATGCCTGACCGTGGACTGAAACTCCACAGACATTTTCTTATTAAAAGTTAATTGTCTCAGAGTTCTACATGTGGTAAGTGAAAGTTGACTGGCACACTGGATAATCCCACAGGCACACTGGGTAATTTCACTGGCACACTGGATAATCCTACTGACACACTGGATAATCTCACTGGCACACTGGATAATCGCACAGGCACACTGGGTAATCCCACTGGCACATTGGGTAATCCCACTGGCACACTGGGTAATCCCACTGGCACACTGGATAATCCCACTGACGCACTGGATAATCCCACCGACACACTGGATAATCCCACTGGCACACTGGGTAATCCCACTGGCACACTGGGTAATTCCACTGGCTGACGTAGTTAGGCACACCAGTGGAAGGTTCTGATTCTGTTGTTTATTCTAAACACACAGGAACCCAAGACATTTCAGATTGCCCTACATGGAAGCATGTTTTCTGGCCATGGGGAAGATCATTTATTTCTTTGCCACAGCCAACTTCTGTCTGGTCAATAACAGCAGTGGAAGCGGTGGCGGCAGCAGCAGCAGTAGCAGCGGCGGCAGCAACATCACCAACAGCTCTGAACTACAGAATTGCTATTCTATGCCATGAGCTGGGCACCCTTGGTCCTTCACTGTTACCTCACCATCATTGGCAGTCCCATTTTATTGGTGAGAAAATTGAGGTTCAGGAAGGGCTAAAGACTTCCTTACAGCTCCATTTCTGGACACATATGAGCTAAGACTAGAGTCCAGGTTCCCTGAGTTCAGGGCCCACGCTTACTATCATCCATCTACACTGACAGAAACTAAGGATGCGCATCAAACCATCACAAAGAACTGACCCAAATGTGGCTCTTGAGATCACAGGGTCATCAGTCCTAGCCCCAGGGTAACATTCAGTAGAAGAGGAAATGAAATCACAAAAACTCACCCATCGGTCTCCTTTCCTGGGAACTGCCTCCCCACACTGTACAGATCTGGTGAGATTTAAAACCAGGTCTCTGGGCTGTAGAGGTAGCACAGCAGTTAAGATCACTTGCTACTCTGTAGCAGACCCAAGTTCAGTTCCCAGCACCCACGTGATGGCTCACAAACATCTCTAACATTGGTTCCAAGAGATATGATGCCCACATCCGGCTGAGGCCAGTGCCAGGCATGCCCACTGTGCGTGTACAAGACTTCCAGCAGTGTGGATGTCCTGGTGCCATCTCCCACATGTATCTGTCTAGGCTGTGATGTTGTGGAATATCTGTACACCGTGTGAAGATATTTTGCTGTGATTGGTTTCATAAAGAGCTGAATGGCCAATAGCTAGGCAGACAGAGATAGGTGAGATTTCTGGGGAGAGGGAGGAAAAGTAGGAGGAACCTAAGTATGCAGATTACTCCAGAGAGAGGCCAGTCAGACATGGAATGAGTCAGACACACAGAATGGGGTAGAGGTAAAAGACACATGGTAGAATGAATATTAATAAAAAAATGGGTTAATTTAAACTATAAGCGCTAGTTGAGGGCTGGAGAGCCAGCTCAGTGGTTAAGAGCATTGGCTGCTCTTCCAAAGGTCCTGAGTTCAATTTCTAGCAACCACATGTTGGCTCACAACCATCTATAATGAGATCTGGTGTCTTCTGGCCTGCAGGCATACATGAAGGTAGAACACTGTATACATAATAAATAAATAAAATCTAAAAACAAAAAAGACCTAGTTAAGAACAAGTCTAAGCTAAAGGCCAAGCTTCCCTAATTAATAACAAGTCTCCATGCCATTATTTGTGAGCTGGCGACCCAAAGAAAAATCCGACTACAGTGCAGGGTTTCCCAGAGGCTTCTGCTGCCATTAGCCAACCAGCATATGATTATGACCCAGAAGTCCTGCCAGAAGATTGCTTAGCAGTGGTTGTTGGAAGACGTCCATGAACTGGAGCGATAGCATAGAGACACTCCCTTTACACTCCAGACGACCTGGATCAGCTCTCCGTTCCTGCTGGTCCATTTTCCTCAGAACCTGAAGGCTGCCAGGCCAGTGCTTCATCACAAAGTTTTCCTGGGGTCCCCCCCATCAGATGGTACTGATAAGGAACTAGCCAAGACGCCTGTGACACGAGACTTCAGAATAGCCACCTGGTCTCACGTAAGAGCCACCACAGAACAAGCATGAGTGCAGGACGTCAGGTCAGGGCCTCGGTACTGAGCACTTGGGTTCACAAAAGGAGCACCACTCCCAGGTGCTGGGGTTAGGCCAGGGTGCCCATAAGTGAATAAGAAAGGATTTTATACTGTTCAGTCACCCACAGGCCAAAGTCAGGCCTGGGATCAGGTGAATGAAATCTCGTCCTTCTCGATGGAAAAACTGGATCCAAGTCACAAATACATACTACTGTGGAGTCTGCATTTTTCTTCCAGCTTTGCCAAATTCAGCGGCACTTAAGGCAGAATTCTCCCTCACTCAGAGACTATGAAGGCCCAGAGAACAAAATCCTATGGAGCCACAGGGAAGAGAGAATGATACTCCCAGAGCTTTCCTCTCTCTAGGCTCTACCCAAACCAATGCATGGGAGAAGGGGAATGAGGAGACCCAGATAGCTTTAAAAATCTGTCCTTGTGAACTCTAACCTGAGATGGTAAATATCACACCTGATTAGCATGTGTAGAGCAATAGGCATCGATGAACTAAGCAAAGAAAGGATGACCTTCCCACGTGAGTTGATGCTTAATTGCTTTCTAACAGACACACTCATCTTAAAGAAGATAGTCTCTCTGGGTCACCTTTTATGATGATGCTGCTTTTGCCTAGCAACACATAACTGAGATACAGATAGATGGAAGATAGTCTGAGGATGCAGAAATAATCTGTATTCACGGTTAAACAGCCTTCCTCAGCATAGCATGAATATCTCTGGCCCCATGTAACTGTTAGTTGAGAATCTTAGCCTCTGATATTGTTACTCATCCTGGAAACAATAAGCAGTAAAGTTAATTAGAATCAGAGTCTACTACCTTCATGGTACTCATGGCGTTGAAAGCCACTGCCAGTCTTGAAGAGGTGAGCGTTGCCAGCATTGCATTGAATCTTGTACTCTTGTTTTGAATGGGTGAATAGTACTGTCCATCTGGAGCCACAGAACCAAACCTGTGAGGAGGTAGGGAAGCAGGATGGAAAAGAGGAAGGGGTTTAAGACAAAACAAAGTACAACACTACTAGAAATGAAATCATGGGACTCCCCTGTAAACACAGAAATGGAACTCCTGGGAGCATCTCAAAGGGAATGCTGCGAAGGGCTTGACTTACGGAAGGTAAGGACAGGTTCTCTCCCACTGCCAGCCTGCAGTGGAGTAGCAGCTCCCAAAAAGGAATAGCAGGAAGACCACCACCATCAAACCAAAGCCAGGGCCTGGATGTGCAAGCACGCTGGCTAGCTTTTTTAAAACAATGTGACGTAATTAACATCCCATAAAATTCAGCTGTTTATAGCATTTGGATTTGGAGGCCTTAGGATGTTCTCAAAGTTCTACAATCATTGTTACTGCTTGACTCCAAAACTTTCATCATCCTAGAGAAACCCCACCCCAACTGAACTCACTCTCTATAACTCCACCCTCCAGTACATAGCAAACAATTCCTGTCCTTATGGATCAGCCTACTCTTTGCATCAAAGGGAACAATATATATCATGTATTTTTGCATCTGTCTTCTTTCACTTGGCAAGGTTTGCAAGGTTCACCTATGCTATATAGCTTATATCAGTACTTTTTTATGAAGGAATATTTCACTCAATCATCTTTAACATTTATCAGCTAACAGATGTCAGAATTTTTCCACTTTGGGGATATTATGCATAATTATCCTAAAACTATTTGTGCTCAGGTTTACTTGGGGCAAATAGATGTACACATTTCAATGGGCATATGGACAATGCTTATATGTACATATAATACACACGTATCTATGTATATATGTATGCATGTACATACACATAATATCTACAGATATACATGTGTATCTGGAAATAAAACTGTTGAATCATCTAACTTCCAACATTTTTTAAAAGATTTATTATTATTTGTGTGTGTGTGTGTGTGTGTGTGTGTGCTGCACGAGTTTAATGCACACCACTTGAGTAAAGGAGCTCACTGAGGCCAGAAGAAGATGAAATGAGAGGGAATTAACATCTGATTAACATTAGATCCTCTGGAACTGAAGTTAGACATTCATGAGCCATTATGTGGGTGCTGGGAAGTGAATCTGGTTCCTTGCAGGAGGAACAAACACTCTCAACTGCCATGCCACCTCTCCAGTCCAAACTTAAAACTTTTGAGGAACTGCTAAGTGACTTTCCAAATCTGTGAAGACATGTTACAACACTGCCAGTGACGCGTATCAGTTCCAATATCTTCATCTTCAACAGCACTTGGCATTGTCTGCAAGTTTTAGCACAGACGTCCTAAGGGGTGCAGAATGGCATCTCACTGGGATTGGATAGCAGTCTCCCAATGACAGTGGGGAGTTGGGGAGTTTTCTTTCATCTTATATTAGAAGGTTGACTATCTTCTTTGGGAAAATGTCTAATGATATTTTGTTTAGTTTTTTAACTGATTGTCTGTCTAATTAACTGGTATAGTTTTCCCATTCTGAATGCTAGGCTCTTATAATATATTTGATTCACAAGTCTTTCTCAGCTCAAAAGTCAATTTTCACTAAGTTTTTACAATTTTTTATAAACTCCGAGTGCCCTACTTTTTCTTTGGTTTTTCTTTACCTGCACTTTTGGTGTCGTGCTTAAAAACTCACTGATGAGACCAAGGTCACTAGCTGTATAGCCCAGGTCTCTTCTAAGAACTGTGTGCATCTGTGTTGGGTGGTGTGAGGTAAGAATTCAACCTAACATTTTTGAATATAGATAGCCACACATTCTGGAACCACTTGGTGAAAAGACTATTGTTTCCTTTCTGTCTTGGTTCTCCAGAAGTCTAGTAATTGTCAATAAATTTATGTGTAGACTATTCTATCCCATTGTCCATATAACTACCCTATGTTAATGCCATGCAATCAAGATTACCACAGCTTGGTCTTAAGCTTTTAGATTCCAAGTATGAATCCTCCTACTTTATTCTTTATAAAGATGGTTTTCTTTGTTCTAAGTTTCCTATACTTGCATGTAAATTTCAGGATGAGTTTATTAATTTCTTCAAAAACGAAAATGGCAGCTGAGATTTTTTTTAGAGAGATTATATTAAATCATTTACTTACATCTATTAACTGGCTCACTTTCTAATCAAGTGATGAACCAAGACTTGCTCCTTCAAAACCCCATGTAGCTACTGCTGTTTTGCAGTTATGGGGAACAATTTAAATGGTAATGAGATAATGTTATAAATCAAATCTTGCTCATCAAAGTGATTAACTACAAACAAGTCCACTATCATTCTGCTTTCTCGCGGAATCTGATTTGCTAATCTCTAGTGCTTTTGCTGAGCCCTTCCCATTGGCCAGTGGCTTCGGAGGCCACACCGAACACTGGGATCTGATTAGGGTGATAGAATATGGGAAGCTGCCCATTGTGACTTTTCTTCCCCCTCCCATCCCCCAGAGTGGGTATGCTGACAGGAGCCTAGGAAATGGACAGGAGCCTCTAGGGAAGGCTAGTGGGCCTCAGACCCACTTTCACAAGCTCTGGTGTCTGTTGAGATTTTCCAGGACATCTGTAAAGATGTCTTTGCTGTTTCTGTTCTATTTACCACCAGTTCACATAGGGTGGGAGACAAAAGGAACGTGATCCATTCTAAGTTTGCTTCCCACACAATTTTCTTTGACTTTTGCAAGTGACTCCATGTATTTGTTGACAAGAACTTGTAAGGAGCAAAGATAAGTAAAGGGAAAACTCCACTGCAAAGCAAAAAAAAAAGTAGAGCCCCAGATTGTTGGCTCTACCAGTGATTTAAGTGCAGCTCTGGCTCCGGATTTACAGTTCACAGGAAACACAGCTGAGGCACTGAGGTAGCTGGTGTTTCCTAGAATCTGCAAAAAAAAAAAAAAAATACCATCTTTAACCCTGACTTTCATCAGTGATCACACCAGAGAAGGAAACCTCCACCTCACTGTTTGAGTCACCTTGACTACCTTGTGGACGCCTGGGCATTTTTCCTGCAGTTGACAGTAGTTTTAACTGCCTCCTCCGATGAAAAGTGTCTTTTTTCTAATATGATATCTCTTATTTATTCTTTGAGGATTTCATGCATGCATACAGTGTTTTTGATAATGACCCAAACGGAAAGTGTCTTAACTTTTCACACCCACAGCGGAAGCAAGCAGCACACATCAGTTTATTTACAATTGCCAAAATAAAAAGAAGTTAAATGCCAAACAACAAGGAACTGGGGACATAATTCATCAGTTATTTAGCATAGTGCTATGATGCATTTTAATGGGAATTCTTAAAGAATAGAAGATCCTCTATGTTAAAATTCTAATATAGGTCTCTCTTTTTAGACATATTGGCATAGAGAAAAGTCTACCGTAACAATCACTACGTCTGACAAATGTCATGTTGGAGCACTTAGATTTTTCTCTATTTGCTTATCTACCTTTTCCAGTTAGTTGTGGAAACCCTTGAGGGGAGACCACTTGGTCCTGCAGTCTGCAAGACCCCAAAACTAGAGGCCTCATTTTGAGGAACAAGTAGACCATCTACAAAGACCTTAAGGAGAAAATTACTCACTTATCCAGCAGGTTCTCCCTTGGAATCCGAACCTTGTCAAACATCAAAATTCCGTTATCCACACCGTTCAGACCTGGGGGGACAGATTTCAAATGGAGATGCAACACAACATTCCAAGATGGTCTCAGCTACTTCTTGGCCTAAAACACAAACCTTAAACATTTCCAGAACTGTAGGTGCTCTTTTGTTAGGGGGTATGCCTAGGATGTTGTCTGTTTGTTCTCTGGGCCCTGGCTCAGACACACTTGGCCCATTCCCAACCCCCACCCTGAAGGAGAACCAGACAATGATGTGGTTTTCCTTGTTTGCAGCCCCTGCCCCCCCCCCCCCCGCAATGTGCTAGAGACTCAGGTTCCGGGTCTGATGGGGCACATCTCCCTCCTCAACAGCAAACGCTATTAAAAGGAAAGAGTTCAGGGCCTGAGGAGACAGCTCAGTGATTAAGAGCTCTTGTTGCTCTTGCAGAAGACCCAGGTTCAGTTCTGAGAACTCACAGGGTGGGCTCACAACCATCAGCAACTCCAGCTCCAAGAGACTGAGGCTTCCTTCCAACCTCCCTGAGCACTAAGCCTACATGTGGTATGCAGACATGCAGGCAAAACACTCATACATAAAATATAATTTAAAGTTAAATAAGTAGATAAAAATTAAAAAAAGAGTGTTGAGGCAAGAGAAAGCACGGGACACTGGAGACAAACCAGCCTGTCCCCATGCACGGTTCATGCTTCCTCCTCAGGCACAGGATGAACTAGCAAAAGTAAATAACAGAAGATATGGGAAAACCAAAGCAGTCTTTCTGCAGCTGCCAATGCTGTCAACATGTGGCATGACTTCATCAGCAGTGGCCTGTCCCTCCGCTCTCAGCAGCACTTGACACTCGAGGTACTTTCAGGGGCCATGCCTGGCGGGTGTGGTTGCCTATACTAAGGGTAAGATGGGATTACCTCTCCGCTGTCCAACGCGCCTCCCCTACCCCTTCCTCTCTCTCTTCTCCCTTTTATCCTTAACTCCTGCATCCCTTTCTTTAGCTGGCTTCACCCTGAAAACCTGGTCTCATTGAGAGCTGAATGAATTGTATCCTCCCCATCTCTGATTTGTAGATTGAAGTCCTAAGCCCCATATCTGTAATGCAACCTTGTTTTAGAAGCAGAGGCAACCAAGTTAAAATGGAGTCATTAAAGTGGGCCCTAATATAAATGATAGAAGTCCTTATAAGAAGGAGAAACCTGGAGACAGATATGTGCACAGGGAGACTTCATGCTCATGTGAAAATGACATTCACAAGCTGGGGCAAGAGTCCTGGACTAAAGCCTTCCATTGCCCCCATCAGAAGGAGTCAACCCTGGGAGCTCTCTCATCTCAGGCCTCTATTCTCCAAAACTGTGAGGACTCAGATGTGTCACAAATGTCCTGAGACAGTGCTTAAGGCTCAGCAAGGGCTGTCTGGACACAAACATCCATCTGGAGGTGAAAAGTCACCAGAGAGCTGCCCTAGGTCGAAGAAAAGAGAAGTTGAGACACCCATTGGAGACTAAGCATCTTTGTCACTAAGTAATTGGGAATCTAGGAGATAGCAATATCAATGCATGGTCCCCTGGCAGTCTGGTCCACTGCCATGGTTTCCTGGAGATGAAGGTGGTTAGATTCTCCTTGACTGTAGTGGGGGCTGGAGGACCCACGGGGGTTATCAGCCAGCACAGATGAGGGTCACCTGAGGACTCACCTTCTTTATGCATCATATCAATAGCTGTCACCCCTGGATACAAGTTTCCATGCTCATCCCTGATAGGAACGATGAAACAGTGGGGCCCTAAGGAAGGCACAGAGACAGGACCTTAGTAGGTTTCCCTTTTTTAATGCTGTCAAGACAAAGTTTCGATATATAACCCTAGATGACACAGAGCTCGCCATATAGGTCAAGGTGGCCTCTAATTCAAGTTAATCCTCCTGTCTCTGCCTTCCAAGTGTTGGAGTTACAGGAGTAAGCTACCATCCCGGCCCTAGATGACCCCTTGTGAAGAATAAACCTTCAAGCTCTGTGTGAGGGCATGTGTCTTTAATCTCAACATTTGGGAGGCAGAGGTAGGTGGGTCTCTGTAAATTCAAGGCCAGCCTGGTCTACATAGAGAATTCTAGAATACCCAGGCTATCCAGTGAAACCCTGTCTCAAAAAATAAAAATAAGAGAATAAAACTTCTTCTCTGGAACAATATGACATTATGTTACATTCCAAATCGACTAATGTCAGCAAATTCGGTCACCACTTTTCTATGGAAGATGAAGTTAGTAGTACATATTTTTACAAGATAAAACTGGCCCTGTGAGGCACGTTTTCGGTGTAAAGACCTGATGGGAAAACAGCAATAGCAAAGAGAATTCTTTCACGTTGGTAACAAACCTTGCGACTTTCCCTCGATGATGAGCTGGGCGAAGACGACAGCACAGCTCCCATCCATGGCGTTGCCGATGTACATCTTCTGGGCATCTTCACACGGCGTGTCAATCACGAACTCCTGCCAAGAAGAGGAAGCCACAGAGTATTTGCCTCCATGTGGCTCCCTTGAACCCCTAACTCAACACAAGGAACACCTTAAAACAGATCTGCAGTGTGAAGAAGACTCAGGGGCTCCTGGGAAGCCACTGTCTTAACTCTGAACTTTGTGCCGTCTGCCAGTCTGTGAATGTACTTTACCTCCATCTTTGCTTTGACGGTGACTGGAAATGGGTTTTAGTTTTTGGTGCATAATTCAATCAGAAAAAATAAGCAGCCAATTTTCATTCATTCATTTCCCATCTCTGTCTTTAACAGTGTCCAGCTGATGCGTGCTGTCTTCTTCACCCACTGGTTTTCAACATGCTAACTATTTCTCCAATTGTCAATTTCTCTTATCCGAGTACTTCATACTGTGATTTTGCCTTTTAAAGAACCCAACACTGAAACCTCTACAAGAGATAGATGTGATGTCACAGACCTCAAGTCCAGCTACGTGGGAGGCTGAGACAAGAAGACTATACATTCAAGGACCGCCTGGACCTCACAGTGAGTTTAGGCAATTTAGCAAAGCCTTTTCTCAAAATAAAAATAAAAGGATGGGCTTACAGCTCAGTGGTTGAATACTTTCTGCCCTCAAGGTAATGGGTTTACTCCCCATCTCTCTCTCTCTCTCACACACACACACACACACACAAGGAAGGGGGCACACAGGCACTGGTAGAGTGTATTTAGCTCTCCACATACCCCTCACCCTCAAACACCTCACCTATGAGGTGCCCATGAAAAGAGGGAGCAGCCCAACGACCCAGGGCCCTGGATGGTTTTGTTTCTGAGCACACAACGTATGTTTCATTTGGTCTTCCCTTTCTAGGTAAATCTCCTGAGTTCTCAAGCTTTCCACTATTGCACAGGCCTGGCCAGCCTGCAGCCATGATAAGAACTCTGTTTACATGACACCTCACTCATTAAGAAGCCGAAGCCATGTGCTCGACTGTCAGCAAAACAGGTACCTGTGAGTTATTCCTATCATTGTTTAGCATATCGCCCCAAAATAATTTTAATTTTGGGGTGTTTTTTTTAAAGGAAAAGAAAACACCCACCAAAGCCTTTGGCTGGTTGTCTCAGAACCTGCTGTGAACATCTTACAAGTCAGTAAACACAAAAGAGTCCCCAGGGTCCCAGACTAGAGCCACGCACCCAAGCCCTTGAAACAGAGACACATGTAAAGGAGCCTTGGTCTTCCGAGGGTATCTTAGAATGCAGTTTGTCTCAGTAACGGCCAATGATTCCAGCTCCAAAGATCCTGAAACTAGCTCCGACCTGAAGAAACAGGGACCGCAGGCAGGGCTGGTTTCCAGTCTCTGCTCAAATCCAGGCATCTCTTTCCTACTATCCAGTGAAAATATTGCCTTCAAGGCTCGGCTCTCCCCACTCTTGCTCACCACATAGGTTACTCTTAAACCTCTTCCCAAGGCGGTACTGACCACACTGCTAGCTCTGAGTACAGGGTACCTATGACAGGTCAGGGGCCCAGAGGAAATGGCAGAAAGCTGAACTGGCCACTTAATTGGAGTTGACAATGTAGAAGATATGATTCAGCTAAACCAACATGTTCTTGGTCACACAGGATTATCTCAGATTTCAGATTATAAAGTGTATAGACTGTGCTTTCTCATTGGGCCAAGAAATACAGTCTCAAGGCCTAAGAAAACAATCTCTGATATCAGTTTGTACAGGAAAACCTTTAACATGTGCAGGGGCTTTTCAGAAAAATATATGAGCAAGTTGACTCTCTTCGAGAAGTCTCTCGAGATTGTCCTTGGCTTATCTGGTCAGCCAGGGCTTCTGGAAGCGGGAGAATGAATTCAAGGTTGCATGCAATGGGCATGAAGACAAAACAACCCATGTGCATGATGGGGAGGGAGAAAAGAGCCCTGGAAACATGGGGCTGCCAGGGGAGAAAATGGGAGGTCACTTGTACTGGTCTTCTACACATCTAACACACCCCAGGAAGAAGTTTGTCACTTCTGGCAAGACACTCCATGTGGAAAGTTTGTATCAGCCAAAATACTAGAGTTGAAACTGTAACCTAAACAATGCCCAGCATGTGTGCTGGTTACAATTATGATTGCTTGGTGAAGACCAGCAAAACGGTCAAAGTTGCAAAGACTAAGAAATGTAAAAATAAAATTTAAAAAAAATAGGAAAGAAGAGGGCTAGGGAGATGGCTCAATGGTTCAGAGCATGCACTGCTCTTACAAAGGAGCTGACTTTGGTTCTCAGCAGCCCTGTCAGGCAGTCCACTACTGCCTGTAACTGTGTAACTCCAGCTCCAGGACAGTCCACCTCCCTGGGCTCTGAATAGACCTGCACTCACATTGTACACACACACACATACACACACACACACACACACACACACACACACACACACACACTTACAGCAGAGCTGACTTTGGTTCTCAGCAGTCCTGTCAGGCAGCTAACAACTGCCTGTGATTCCAGCTCCAGGACAGCTCACATCCCTGGGCTCTGAGGATACTTGCACTCACATTGTATACACACACATACACACACACACACACACACACACACACACACACACACAAACGTTCATAATGTAAAACAAAAAGTAAATCTTTTTAAGTCAAAAAGGGCCAGTGAGATGACTCGGTCATTAATGGCATTTGTTTCAAAGCCATTTTTAATTTAATTTCTGGAACCCTTATGGCAGAAAGGAGAGAACAGACTTTGAAAAATTGTTCTCTGACCTCCTCATAAGTGCTGTGGTACTTGCATGTGTATGCACACACACGAGATAGATAGATAGATAGATAGATAGATAGATAGATAGATAGATAGATAACAAATTTAAAATAAAAATTAATTAAAAAGCTTTTACTATCACCGCATTTATTTTTGCTAGTTAGCACAGAGTATGAAAATAAAGCTCTTATCTCACAGCTAACACACTGCTGGCTGATCCAGTTCCCTACAAATGAAAACAAAAGGACCAAAAACCAAAACCAGTAAGTGATGGAAGGAAGGTTCATTTGATATGCAACACAACTTTCAAAAGGAGACACCGCCCCCTGCCGTGTCAGTCCCCCGCTGTGCCCCGCCCCCCACCAATCCGCTTTCCTCCTGGCAGAAGTTCATGACTGACTTGTCTCCCCCACCCACTGGAGAGCCAGTGCTCACCATTTTCCTCATCTGCAACTCCCCTGTCAGAAAGAGGCAGCTGCAGAGGCCCATTGGGTGACAAAATCACTTATGCTGTTTGGAGAAAACGGGACCAGTGCAAGAAATTATGTTTTGTCGAAAAAGAAATTGTAAGAAGAAACAAGTAAGAATTGTGGGTGGTTTTTCTTTCACAGTAACGATCGCAAGGTCATCTCAATATCACAGCTTGGGAAAAGAACAAGAGTGGTCAGTCATAACCCATAAGATATCAGGTCAATAATCCACACTCTTAAAGGCAGTTCCATTTCAGCCTTAACTCCTCCTTAACTCTGCTACTCTGTCACTATAGTCAGGTCCCTAACCTCTGTGAACCTCAGTTTCTCCATCCGTAAAATAGGGACAACAAAGTTTTGTTGGCTGGTTATCTCAGCGCTTAGCTTAGTGCCTTCTACCACTTGAATTCTCTACTCGCAGAAACTGCTTAACCTTAAAGGGCACGCTGATGCGAAAGAATACAGGCAGCATAGAGAAGAAGCTGGGCCTGCACAGCAGAGCACAGTCCTTGCATTTCCCACAACCTGGGAGATCACTGACCACTGCAGAGAATGAACATCAGGGCAGGGAAAACTATCCTCTAAGACTCCTGTCACTGAACAGGACATTCTCAACACTGGTCACTCATCCACTGAAGATTCGTCAGTCAAACAAAAACTTACTTGATCAAATTCCTGATTCAGAAAGGCAAACTCAGAGGAAATGGAAGAATAGAACTAGACACACAGACGCTACTGTAATGTTCCCTCCCCAGCCTACTCACAAACACGGCTACACACAACAGAATTCAGTTGCCCCTTTGTAGTCCTTAGGAATACCGAGTACCAAATAAGAAACTGCAAAGAGGGTAAGAGAAAGCAACAGTGGCTTTCTTTTTGGGGGTGGAGGGGTCCAGTGGTAGAAAACTACCAAGAGCTTCCACAGTGCTTTGGTTATGGACCATTATGGAGAAAGATGCCAAATTAGAAGGTCTTCACCAACACGCTTAATTAATAAGAAGGGAAAAGAAGGCCAGTGATTGAGATGGCTCAGTGGGTAGAGACACTTACCACCAAGTCTAATGACCTAAGTTCATTCCCTAGTACCCACATGGTGGAAGGAGAGAACTGAATTCGACAAGTTGTCTTCTAACCTCACACACATACTGTGGCACACATGCGTGCACACATGCACGCACATACAAATATTTTATAGGAAAGGGAAATGAGGAAAATCAAGGAAAGGAGAAGCAAAAGAACAAAATGGAAAGGAAAAGAGTAGAGTTCATCACATGAATAGAAAGGAGAAAAAGCAACACTACAATGCCTTCAGGTTATCAAGTAAAATCCATGTGAGTCTTGGTTAAGAACACCATACAGGGCTGGGAGATGACTCGATGGGGAAGAACACTTGGTTCTCAAGCATGAGGACCTGATTGAAATCCCCAGGACCCAGGTGAAAACCCAGGTGAGACTCCATGCTGTGCTGGGCAGAACCAGCAGTACCACTGGGGCATGCTGGCTGCTAGCCTAGCTCTGTCCAGATTCAGTGGGAGACCCTATCTCAAGGGAATAAGGTAGAGCACGGCAAAGCAGGGCACTCTGCATCTTCTTCTGGCCTCCATATGCACAGGCATAGGTGCACATATACCACACACACACTCACATACTATCTTGTGGTTTCTAGTGTTGGAAAGAGACATCATGACCATGGCAACTCTTACAAGAAAAAACATTTAACTGGGGTGGTTTATAGTTCAGAGTTTTAGTTCATTATCATTATGGTGGGACATGGGGCATACAGGCAGACATGGTGCTGGAGAAGGAGTTGAGAATTCTACATCTTTACCCAGAGACAACAGGAAGTGAACTGGGACACTGGGCATAGCTTGAGCATAGGAGACTTCAAAGATAGCTCCCAAGGTGACACACTTCCTCCAATAAAGCCATACCCACTCCAACAAAGCCATACCTCCTAATAGTGCCACTCCCTGTGAGATTATGGGATCAATTACATTCAAACTACCACATTCCACACCAGAGCCCCTATAAGTTTGTAACAGTATCATAATGCAAAATGCATTTAGTCCAATTTCAAAAGTCCCCATAGTCTATCATACTCTCAACAATGTTTAAAAGTCCAAAGTTCAAAGTCTTTTCTGAAATTCATGCAATTTCTTAACTATAATCCACTATAAAATCAAAATTTAAGAGAACTGATCACATACTTTCAATATATAATGGCACGGGATATAAATTACTGTTTCAAAACGTAGGGAAGGGAGCATAGAGAGGAAATACTGAACCAAAGCAAGACCAAAAACCAGCTGAGCAAACTCCACACTCTGCATCACCATGTCAGATGTCAAAATGCTCTTCAGATCTCCAGCTCCTTTCAGCTTTGTTGACTGCAACATAGTTATTTCTCTTGGACTGGTTCTACTCCCTATTAGCAGTTTCTCTTAGCAGGTATCCCATGGGTCTGGCATCTCCAATATCTTGGGGTCTCCAAGGCAATCCAGGTTTCAACTCCATAGCTTTATGCAATGGCTTCTCTAGGTCTCCATTTATGGACACCTATGACACCTGCCTGGCCTCAACAACTTTCTTAGTCACAGAGACAAATTCCATAGCCCCTTTCTTCTATCCTTAACTCCAGAACCACATGACTGAAGCTGCCAACTTCTGCTGCTTACTGGGACTGGAACTTGGCCCTTTTTATTCAATTATATCTTCACCAACTTTCTCTTTTCACTGGTTTCCTTTGCAGCCTAAGCTTGGCTGTCTTGAATTTGTATCTGTAGACCAGGCTGGCTTCAGAGATCTTCCAGCCTCTGCCTCTGGAGTGCTGGGATTAAAGGTATCTACAACCACACCCAGCTCTTAGCTTTTCTTTAATTCCTTTTCCCAAGTTGGAAACTTAGCTGGGTGGGGTAGTTCCCTGAGGTCACCACTCCCTTTATTCCATTTCTTAACCTGACTATCTCCTTGAATGCAGAATTTAGCTCCATTCCATTTCCTAGTGTCACTTTTCTCCTCAAATTTTTTGTTTTGTATTTTGCCTTCTTCAATTTGCTCCCTTTTAGTATAAATCTTCATTAGAGTTATCACTAATAACCACATGACACAGTCTATACTAGACTATTAAAGAGATTTCCTCTGCCAATGGAATTAATCCAAAACTCTTCACTTTAGCATCAGGTAGACTCTAAACAAGGGCAAAAAGCAGCCACATTCTTCACTAAATATCACAAGAATGATCTCGAGGCAACATACTAAAATTTTTATCCTCTGAAACATTTTGATCTAGGCCCCCACAGTTCATCAAATCACACTCAGCACCACTGCCTTCCATGTTCCTATTAATATGGTCCATTAGACAATAGTTAAAGTGTTCCAAATGCTTTCCTAATCCATAGTTCCAATGTTCATATTCCGTCAAACAAAACATGGTCAAGTCTATCACAGCAATACTCTAGTCCCTGGTACCAACTTTCATCTTAGAGTCTTTATTGCTGTGAAGAGACACCATGACCATGGCAATTCTTATAAAGGAAAACATTTAATTGGAGTGGCTTATAGTTCAGAGGTTTGGTCCACTATCATTATGGTGGGACATGGTGGCATGCAGGCAGACATGGTGCTGAAGAAGGAGCTGAGAATTCTATATCTTGATCCCAAGGTAACAGGAAGTGAACTAAGACACTGGACATAGCTTGAGCATAGGAGACCTCAAAGCCCACCCTCACAGTGACACACTTCCTCCAACAAGGTCACATCTACTTTAATGAGACCACACCTCCAAATAGTTCCACTCCCTATGAGCTTATGGGGCCAATTAAATTCAAGCTACCACACACAAAAAGAACACTGCATAATGCAATTAATTGGCCCTCTATCTGCATGAATCCCATATCACTGGATTCAACCAACTATGTATTGAGATACATCTTAATTACATCTATACTTACTACCTACAGACATTGTTTTATTATCATCGTTTCATAAATGATACAGTTTAACAGATGCATAACATCAGTATTATATTAAGTATTAGAAGTCATCAAAAATGATGTAAATACATCATTTTTGTATACAAAATGGAGAGGGCTGTGGCAGGTCCGACACAAATACTATGCTACTTATATAAAGAAATTGAGCGTCTGTGTATCTTAGACTCTTCAGAGGTTCCTAAAAGCTGTGATATCCATGAATACTGAGGAACAACTGTGACAGCATAGAGGACTTATCCCCTTATCAGAAAAATCTCAACTCTTGGTGCGCTGCCATGTGCTCCATGCAGAAACAGCAAAGACATCCCTGTTCTTCATAGACTACTGTTGGGAAGAAGAACAATGTGGCTAGTGCTGTTCCCATGGAAACATTACGAGGGAATAACTAAAGAGTATGTGCGCAGAGCTGTGTCCTGTTGGTGGCAGGAAGTGTGTAGCATAGGCTGGTATTGCTTTCAAAGGCTGAGTTCATGTCTGTCCCTAAAACAACCTGTTCTGAGCCTAAGCTTCTCAACCAGAGCACATGCTGAGGGTGTGGAGCCAGGCTCAAAAAGATGGGTGATCTGCCCAGATCCCATATTGCAGGGAACCATGCTGAGGGTGTCAAGC